ACTTTTTCATTGCTGGCACGTGTATTGTGTAAACGACACGAGCATGCGACGGTACCACAAATCAGATTGTTTGACACGCCGTTTTCGGGACATTCCCATATTGAGGATGGAATTCTTACTAATATTATAAGTATGGAAGTGAGTTTATTTTTTATTTCTTAGCGCCTTAACGATCCCAATTTTTTTTTATTTAGCATTCGAGTACAATTTGAGACGGAGGACATAGGCTCCTGTTCATCCCGGTCAACCAACACATCTGTCATGTGAACGAAGTCGCAGTTAAAAATTTGTGAATACTTTATATATAAAAAGGACTGTTGCTATGACTAATTGTCACAGTACATATTCAAGTGCAAGCAATCGAAGGCATATAATAACAATAGTATCGATTGAATGTTAACGATATCTTATCTGATAGTGATAAAGACACCGACTGACTGCCTCTAACTGTACATTCAACTATAACATAAATAGTATTCGAAACGAATACCTTAATTTATGGGGAAGATACGATGTTTTCGGTCATATCAAAACGTCTTTGAATTTAACGTTCCAGATTCAAAAATTTATATCAATTCGAAATATATATTGGTATTTAAAAATACCGCATCGGACATAGTTCCGGAACAAGGTTCATTTTCCTGTTATCAAAGTGATGTCACAATAAGTTGGGACTGGGTAGGTCCTGTACATTCTCAGAATTGTCTGGAGCTTATCCCAGGATCTGAACAATGTTTCGCAAAGATGTCTGAGAGTACATAACGCCATTTTTAAGGGGGTCAGCTAGAAAATGATTTTAAACACACCAATGTGAATTACTATTAAACACTATTTCTTTGTCAATTGTTTATTGCATTAATAATTTCATGACTTTTCTTATATTCAAGGAACAATTTTCTAATGTTCCTTTAATTTTTAATTTGATCATTTTGAATCTTTCAATTGAGTTTCTTAGTTCTACTAATGACTTGCAGATTAAATTTTCTAAATAATAAAAAAATATGTTAATATTAGTTAGCACATGTTTCAACGAAGGAGTGGCATTTTGTATTTATCTTTATAGTGTGTCATAGCTACAATTACTGTATTGTACAATACAATATAGTGGCAGCAATTTATCAATATTTTATTCATACCAATTGTTCATTTGTTTGGACCAATAGAGTTTATGATGCCAGCACACAAAATAGATTGCTCCAAGGACAAATTGCTTGGGATAGACAAGCCCAATAAGTAGATATGCTGTTGATTACTTCTAATATATTATAACTGGTTTTACATTAGGGTCATTGAACCTTTAAACTTGACTTCTTGCTATGATCAATTTATTGCAATACACTGATGTGTAGTACTTTTATTCGTAGATACAATGTGTTTTAAACGAATGGAACACGCATTAGTAGTTCAAGAGAAACCTTACTAATCCTATTTCTATTATAAATGCGAAAGTTTAGATGGACGAATGTATATTACTTTATCACGCAAAAACTACTAAATATATTTTATACAGATATATGTTACATCCAAACTTAGATGATTTAAACTAACTTTGTGCCACTTTATATACTCATTCAAGCGGGCGAAGTCGCAGTATACAATTAGTAATACATATACCTAAATGTGAAACTGTACGTTACCTCATAGCGTTTTAATAATTCAAACGATCATCATAAAATTTGGCATGCATTATTTGAGATTGATGATGGATGTTAGTTAAGCTACTTTTTACCCCAACAACGTAGACAAAGTCGCAAGTAAAGCCTAATACAATGTAAATAAAACAGATGAACATTGGGAAACACTTCAGTCTTTCTTGTTTTTAAACACACAACAGATATCTCAAAGAGATGGCATCGTTGTAATAAATGAGTAAATAAATAAATATTTAACCTAACAAATATTTAAAACTCACGTTCAAGTTATAATCGTACTTGATTACCGAATCCTTTAAAATTTTACATTTTTAACCGACTTAGAGAGAAGGAACAATTTTTTTTTAATTATAAACATGTTACGCGATATCTCCTTCAATTATGATCCGACTATGATGATTCTTTTTTCCTCCTGTATTGATTCAAAAGTGACCAGGTCACTTGCACCTGGTCACTTACGAACCAACACGGAAGACCTGTGTTTGAATTTAAAGAACAACACAAGAAATACAATATTGGCGCGACTGGACTGAACAAAAGAATGCTTGCAACGAGTTTACACTGAACAAAAAAAAAATAGAGGGATAAGGGATCTTTTATCTATTACGCATTGAACAAGCTTGAGCATGCTCGGTACTAGATGGCGCTGGTGATTACAAAAAAATGTTTAAATACGTAACGTAAGTAGTATTCCTTTAGCCCTGGCCCATTTGGTTACTGAAATCGCGCTGTAAAAATTAAATGACGCGCCTAATCTGAAGACAAATAACATAGGGCGGCGCGATAAGATTACGGCAAACAAACATTTTGTAATTGAGGTTAACAGGTACTTTTATGTTTGAATTTAATAATTTCTGTGTCATCACTCCCTCTCTTAATCACGAGAAGCGACTAAGGGAGAAAAAAAGAGAGAGGAGAGAGAGAGAGAGAGTACGAAAATGACCAAATTAGGTACCTTTGCCCCATTCGTATTTCTTCTTCTATCCTCCATGATACAGTATGGTTTTATTTCAGTCTATTAATTGATTTATATTAACTGATTATCTGTATTAATTCATATTTGTAATCAGCTTCAAATAGGAAAAGATTCTTTTTTTTTTTTACATAAATAAGTGTGTGTAATTGTTTATATTTATAATAAGTTTACTATTATAATCTTTTGGAGGAAACAATTAAGAGTATCTATCTATCTATGTGACATGATACTGAGTTATCTTTGCCAAATGTAAAATTAATCTAAAATTAATTTAAAAAAGGAATAATTTCCCAAACCAAGTGTAATATATTTTTCATAATTCTATCATATGTTTATTTATTAATTAGAGAAATAGACAATATAGGACATTAAATAGTTTTAAGATAATATTTTAAAAAGATATTTTTTGTTATTACTATAAAACACATAATACATATTTACTAAAAATATTATAGAAAATATATTTAATATTACGATTAGTCATGTGCACAGAACAATTTATATTTCATGGAGCACTATTTAGAAATGAAGCCAACGTTTATAGCAGCACTTGAGTATGATTAACATGGTATTTGATTCACAACAAGTTTTATTAGTAATTGTATGTGATATTCATAGTGAGGCCAATTGATACACAATGAATCTGTAGAAGAAAATAGACTCGATGCATGTGTTTTAAATTTACAAGGTACTGTAGACTATATATTATTTTAATATCCTAGCAGACCTGGCAAACATTGTTTTACCCACCACTACTTGATTTTATCTTACTGGGATAAAATATTTTATTTTTTTCAAGTTGGCATAAACAATATATATTTGCAAAATTTGATATATTTTATACAACTTAGAAGAACAGTACCATAGATATAACAGAGTATACACTTTCACCCATGATATCCTGCATGTGTTGCCATTCCTGTGAACTAAGTTATTAAGCCTCTGTATCCTGTAATTTCATTGTTAAATCACCACACTTCAAATGGAAACATAGCTGTGCAAACAACAGCTTCTGGGTAGAAACATAAATGTGACAAACATGAAATAGAAGAGAAGCAGATGGTATGATCAGTGGAGTGATTTCATTGATTAGTATAACCAATCATTATGACAGTTTTTTTTTTAAATATAACCTTATTCATGGAGTTTGTTCCCATAAGACTAATTGCAGTTATAAACTCGTCTACTAAGTATGTTGACTATTGGCAAAACCTCCTTTTTATGGGGAGGCCTGTGTTCAGAAGAGAACAATTAACAGCTAATAATTAACACTTGTGAGGAAGTACAGTACACAAAGTTAAAACAAGTTCACAAATATGTCCGAGTACATATCTCAATTGAAATCTTGACTTCTAGAATTTTATATAATATATATATATATATATATATATATATATATATATATATATATATATATATATGCACCAATTAGTGAATTATATTTTTAGAAATACAAATTGATAATATGGTGTAGTAATTTTGGTGTAATTGATATAAGTACTATCTGTTAAAGGAAATAAAGATATTCAGATATTCTATACTTCAATTGTGGCAAAATCAATTATTTTTATTTAAAAACTATTTTTATTATCAAACTAATTTATAACAATAGAATAACAAAATTTCTATAGGACCAATCTGTAATTCTATCCTTTCATATAATAAGAAATTCCCAAATCAGTTTATAAACTATTAATAAGAAATTATTTATAAATAATGATAGTATTATTTTTTTAACCTTTTATTTGACTTATGTTTTAGATAAATTTGTTTATACCTACAAAATATGTAAGAATAGCAAAATATGGTAATATTATGAAGATAAATAATAATAACCATTTATATTCAGTTGTTTTAACAATTGATTAAGATTTTATAAACAAATCAAACATAAACCGTCAAGAGTCGAGCCAGTTTTTCTTAGCAGAATTGGCTTTATAAACTAAAATTGAAACTTTCAACCCTATCTAGATTAAAGAAAAAATTATATTTATAAAAAAAAAATACAAAATTATTCTATATTATTATGGTACTGCTCATGTCTATAGGCGACGGTTACCACTTTCCATCGGGGGAACCGTCAGCTTGTTTGTCATTCTAATTTGTATAAAAAAAAAATTTATATCTCATAAAAATATAATGTATATTCTCGTAAGAATGATGTATTCAAAGCCTAAATGTTGATATGCCTGTGCAGAAATTTATATTTCAAGGCTGTCTGTCACACACAGTACACATGAAAGAATTAAAATTAGGATAATCAACTCTAAGGGTCTTAGAATTGATTATGGAGAGATAATATTAAATTATATCATATGAATTAAGTCTTTAATAAGCAATATTTAAATAACTAACACATGCTAATTACTTACCTTACGAAATGCAAACAGCTCATTTTGAAGTTTCTGCCTCTCGGCAGAGGGCTGCTGGCCCTTCCCTCGTATAAATTTTAACATTCTGCCAGCCTGCAACAAAACAATCACTTAAAGGGGAAGGGATTGTTAGTAATGCGGCCTATCAGCCCCATTGCTAGCAATACACCCTAACAGGTCGACCTCCACGCGGTTCCCCCTGGAAACCATCGTGACTAATCATTGTACAATTGGTCACGATGGGCCAACTGGCCTGTGCTCATGGCGCCCCGCCGGCGTGCACCGCTAGCGCGCGCGGGACAGCCATGGACACCACCACGCCATTATTCGTGGTGGATTTACTAAACTATTAAGAGTGGTTTAAGTATTTCATTTAATATTTTTTTTTTTTTTAATTTATTCTCTTTAGCGTAAGGTATTAAAAACTTGAGACATAAAGAAGGGCTGGTTTCCTATGCAGAATCCAGGTAGATGATATGTCGAGTAAGATTATCCATTTTAATATATATTTTTTTTTTCTCTGTCTTTAGCGTAAGGTATTAAAACCATATAACTAATGGGAGTAGTTTAAGCATTTCATTTAATATAGGTTTTTTTTCTATTATTCACCATTGGCATAATGTAGCGTAAACATTATAACTAGACTCGAGTACGTTCCCCACTCGGCTGCGGTGTTCGGGGGCTGATTGGGTGGTCTCCAATGAAGTGGCCGGGTGGATGGTGCGTTAAGTGATATTAGCCTTTACAGTTTTCTTTCTTATTTTATTCTTTTTTAGCGTAAGGTATTGAAAACATAACACATAACTAAATATGTGAGTAGTTTAAGCATTTCATTTAGTATAGTTTTTTTTTCGTCTTTGGCATAATGCAGCGTAAACATTATAACTTAGCACACTTCACAAGCACCACAAATTAATTAACGAATAGGAAACAGAAAGCCCTACCATTATTCCACATTAATAATTCGCGAGAACACTTGTACAATGACCGGCATCAAGAAGCCGACTGACAATTAGTATCAAAGTTATTAAACAGCGCGGCCCCGCACTATTGTAATGTTGTGTCTTGCAATTGGTAGATAACCGGCAGCAGAAAAACTAAGGACAAGTCGTACGAATCGTAAAACACAACATTTAAAACATTCCCTTTCAATAATCGTCACAACCACGAGCCAACGCCTGTCTGACAGCTATGATAGAACAAATTTCCAAAGAAACACAATAATACAACAATAAACGCTCACGTTTACTTCCACCGTACATACCTGAACACGACAGTTTGAGCAGTTTTAGTGAAGAAATCCAATAATAAAAAGATAATTTGATAGACAACTCACAAAAACGACGTTAGATATACACACAACATGAAAAAAAAGCACTCACAAATTACAAATCTAGACGCGAGTCAACCCACACTAACGTAGTGACGTGACGTGACTGGTATTGAGGGTTGCAAGTATATTTTTCTTTTACCCTAAAAGATAAGAAAGACGTTATTCATTCTTACAGAACAAGATTATATATTTCTTTTTAATTTACACAAAACATTATAAGATAGTTAAATAAACAAGTAATAGTTAAATATATTTACTAATTTCGGAAATACTTTAAATTTTAAGTACTGCCTGTCTATATGTTAACAATAAATAAGATGTAAGTATTATTTTAATTATAACATTATACATGTAACCTGTTAGCATACTAGATTTATAACATTGATTTGGTTTTTGCTGTTATAATGTTATAATTATTTTTAAAGAATGAATAAATAAAAAAAATTACGGCATGTAAATTTTGTATAGAAGTGAACTTAATTTAAATACTACTTTCAATAATAGTTTTATCACAACTCTTAGTTATAATTAAAGTCGATAAATCACGTTAGATCTTTTCATGTACAACGAAGGCAGTCTATAAACTTTTAATATCAGCAGACGGCATTACATGAATCAAATGAGTAGGTAATATAGTTGGGTTAAAAATGCTTATTTAGAATAATTATAAAAGTGACTTTCTATGTTTATTTTGTCATTTACAATCTTAGTGCTTGCAATTAGGTGACATATTCCAGGCCAGCCAGTCGAATGAAGTAACGGACATAACAAGAATCTAATGATTATAAATGTAAATAATTAAAACTATTTTTAATATCTCGTTTTGTAATAAATTAAGTAACAATATAGTTACAATAAATCTTCATAAAATTTTTACTACATTGATAGCGAGGTTCTAAATAAATTGAATATGAAACATAATAGTTTATTTATTTATTCAAAAAAATATCGTCATATAATTACAATTCTATAAAAAAATAAATCAAAATATTTATTATTATAAATAAGTCTTTATTATTATAATATTATAAACGTGAAAGTAAGTTAGTTTGTTCGTTTTGTTGTAAAAAATTTAAATAGTTTGACAGCTTATGATAGTAAGTACCCTATTAAAAGGTAAAAAAAAACATAATATGGCAATAAAAGTGTTAAGAGTACGTTCTGAATATAGAAATCAAATATGTTCTTCATTGAATAAATATGGCATGCATACTTATTTAAATAATATTAATACATTTTTGCGTAGTTTAAAGATATTTAATGTAGATTAAATTATATTTTATAAATTGTGGTTATATTGTTTGTTTAAAAAGTTATTATGTCACAGGTTTTATGATTAATAATTCTAGTCTCTATATTTAATATTCAGTCTTTCAAACGTATCACAGTGCGATTTCGATAAAGAAAATTAATAATATTTAAATAAAGGTATGGTCTTTACTTTGAACGAATGTATACTTCTATATATTTTTATATTTTGAATTAGATTTTATATACTTTTAATTTAAACTTTAGTGTATGTTTTAAACTAATATTTCTATAAAATTTAAAGTGTGTACCGCTAGATGGCGTTATAATTAATTTGATGATTATTGAAATAACTACCTAGCTTACCCGGTAAATATTGTTTTACGATAATAGTAATATAAAAATAGAAAAATAGGTAATAATAAGTACGTAGGTAGTAGTTACTTTAAAAAAAGCAATAAAATTATCATTAGTAACGAAATGTAGTCACTAATTACGTCACTATTAGCGTCTAATATTTTTATTAATTTCGTTATTTTTTTTTATACAACTTAGAATGGCAAACAAACTGACGGCCCACCTGATAGAAAGTGGTAACTGTCGCCTATAGACATGAGCAGTAGCATGAACATAACAGAGTATACTGTTACGCCCATGATACCCCTTTTGCGTTGCCATTCCTAAGGACTTGGGTGTTATTCCTCTGTACCATGTAAATTCACTGCAATATCCCACCCTTCAAACCGAAACAGTCATACAAACACAACTGCTTCACGGTGGAAACATGAATGGGACAGAGGTGCTCAAGCAAGTTTTCTTCTAGTAAATAATTTTCAATATGGAATATGTATATAATTCAAAGTTGTTAGACATATATATATATATATATATATATATATATATATATATATATATATATATATATATATATATATATATATATATATATATATATATATATATATATATATATATATATAAATTAAAGTTGTTATTTATTTTTCTCCGATTATTATTTATTGCTTAGATATTATATCTATGTTTGTTTGTTTGTCTAAGACTTTTTTATTATTCAGTTCGTATTTTTTATTTTGCATTATATATTAAATAAAATAAATAAGCACGAGAAAATGAAATACGTGAAACCCTTAATTATTGATTAAAGCGAAAACTGACGTCACATTCCACGCATCAACTTTATCAGTATTAATATTCAATTTGTGTAGTGTTTTGAGAGAAAAGCAGTATAAAATTATGTTCATCTAATGATTTCCAGTAGCTGGAGTATTCTATTGAGAATTATGTATAAAAGTTTGGGAGTACGGGTGCGGGATCAAATCTGTAGAGAGGTCAATTCTGTACATGAAATATATTTCCAAAATAACTATCAGGGGGTGATTAGTGATCGATACTGATGCCAAAAATGCAATCAGTAAATTTTTTGTCTGTCTGTCTGTATGTTCGTTATAGAAACAAAAACTACTAGACGGATGTTAACGAAACTTGGTACAATTATTCTTCATACTCCTGGGCAGGTTATAGTATACTTTTCATCACGCTACGATCAATAGGGGCAGAGCAGTGAAGGGAAATGTTGGGAAAACGGGAGAAGTTACTCCATTTTTAAGCTTCCGTCGCATGTGCAGCCTTATTGGCCACTTTTTAAAATGTGACAGTCCGCTAGTAAAGTAATAAACATAAAAATTACAACCGAAGAAGGTTCAACCTTCTTTTTTTGGAATCGTTTGAAAATATAAGGCATTGGGGAGTTTTCCTAAGCTCGCGGGTTGCTTTGAAATTATGCAAATTACTTGCTTACTTAAGACCAGTAGATGCAGGTGAGGGCGCGCAGTTTCCTCTTATTATGCTAAACTTGAATATGTCTTAATATTATACTAAAAGACTGTGGCAGAAATATTTAGTATATACTTACAACTTACAAACAATATCTAAATAAATATCTATTGTTGTGAGTTGGCTACTCTTTAGAATCTGTGAATATCTGTATTTGATATTCTTGTTGTTGTAAAAAAATTTTTGTACATCATTTACATTGAACATATAAAAAAGATTCAATATACAATGGCGGACTTATCCCATATAGGGATCTGTTACAGTTATCCAGTCTTTACCTTTGAGAAGATGAAAGAAAACTATAGAATGTTCGAGGGTAGAAATTGTACAGCTAAATATGAAATTTAATAATAGCTAGTTAAAATTAAACATATATTACAATAATTAGTAATTGTTTACAAGTGTAAACAATGTATATATAAGTATATATATACACTAGTGGAAAAAATTAAGGGATCAGAAAAAAATTACAAATTTTTTGCCAGAGACTTTTCGCTGAGATATCGAACTTTGATAGAAAAAGGATCTTTTTGTCTTTAATCATCAATATCTCAGCAAACGCTGATCACACAAGGAAATTAAGGAGGGTTTTGAAATCTTGAATAAATTTCCGACAAAAATCAGCTATAGTTTTTCGAGAAAAAAAAATTTTTTTTTTATTCTTTAGATTAATTTACATTAACAACACATGCATAGATACATAAATTCTCATTGATTCAATGAAACAGAAGTTTCAGAATATAATTTTATGATACCTGCTTTAAAGGGTTTTAATGCTTGTGCTGTCATCAAGTTGTTAGGAAATGAGTTCCAGAGAGATGCAGTTATGGGTAATAGGTATTGCTTTTTTACACAATAATAGTGGTAAGTATACAATAAGGCTGAAATCGAAATCTTTAGCAAAGAAATATAGATTTTGAGGTTTATTCTTCTCTTATTTATAAACACTAAAGTGCCGAACAAATCTATTTTAGGTATCGTTTTATCACTTTCCTTTAAATTGAGAATTTAGCGTAGAACAAAAGGATAAAACATTTCAATAGCTAATATTGGTTTATGAGAGGTTTGTCATTTTTATGAATAAGGGGGTAGGTTATTAAAAGAGCATTAATATCGTAACAGCCTGAAAATTTTTAGCTTCACAAATTAAAAATATCATCAAGTATATTTTATGGAAGTTAGTTCTTTATTAATATCTTCTTTATGGTATAGAATCGCCGTCGACTCATCGGTAAAGTGTGGAATGTTACAGGCTGCTGGGCGTTGCCATGACAACCCACATCGATTGATGCCGCGGCGCATCTTGCATCGTGCAACACGAACTTATTAAGGCTTTGTTGAAGCTCGCAAACAGATAGCGGAAGCGTGAACACTTTCAATATGGCGGCCCTACATGTAATTATTTATATTTTGTTTTCTATATATAATACGTATATGCGTAGAATCCATAGCACAAATTGCTTAATTGGAACTAGGTGGCGCTGTAATTTGTCTAGGAGTATTTTTTATTTGTTATTATTTAGAGAAAATTTCAACTAAATACAATAGTGTAGGCGGGGTTACCTTGAATAAATACTGATTTTAAGCGAAATACTTAGAAATGCGAAGGTTTTAGTCGTTTATAGTTATTAGCAACCAAGTACAGATTATTGTTTATTTTTGTAATAGCAATACCGCCTACTCTCTACTTGGAATTCCGCT